TATACAATGATTTTATCAGGGCAAACAACAAAGATAAGAAACATCTGTAATTTAAATGATTAAGAAACAACAACAAAATAGGCCCATGAAGACAAAAAACCGCGCCAATTTAATAACAAAATTGGGCACACAATCCACACTCAACTTTCTTAATCAATTGTTTGTATTTCCCTCTCTTAACGTTTTTGATGTGTACGTTTCTCTTAAGTTCACAACCATACCATGAAAACCAAAAAAAGAATCATTTGCAAAAACAATAAAAACAAAAACACACACCTCTTCTCTCTGCTCTTGTGTTTGCTTCAGCTCTCTTCCAAAAGACAAAAATTTTTCTCCTTGGCTTTTTTTCTTCTCTACAATGTTCAAGATTTTTCACGCCCGTTTTTTCAACGTTTTAATGCTTTTTTATTGCATAAATTGTAGCGATTCATGAAATATTGACATTAAATATTATTTTGATCATTAATTCAGCGTCGTTTGCTTATGTTTTCGGGTTTATTTGTTTAATTGAAAATTTAGCAATTTTATGCGACGCCCAATGACAACACGCAACTATCAGTGTTACCAACATTGACACGACTAATTCGATGATTGGCAACAATGAAAGCTTTTTTTAAGAGTTAGTGACTCATGTACCGTAGGGGATTTTAAGAGGAATTTGGAAATTTAAAATAATTTTTAAATAAATAATTAAATTTTGTTATTATTATTACTTGGGAATTAAAGAACAATCGTTAAATCTTATCCCCTCAATGACAATTTACGCTTAAAATAAAAGAAATATCTATTTTATCTGTCATGATAAGTAAACAGTTTGCAAACAATACACATTATAAAGCATACTTTCAGGCGCCACACTCTTTTAATAAATATCAACTGAATTCATATAAATTTGAGGTTAGATTGAAGGACGCGTTACTAGAAAACTAGACAAAGTGTCAGCAGTCGTACTCTTGGAAACCTTTGGTTCATTGGGTTTATAATGGGTCCCAATAAGTCCTTTTACTATTTTTAATATAAATAGAGTTCTTCGTCGTGATTTAAAATTTTCAACGGGTAAAACTCGAACATATTTAAAATTAACTCACACTATATTAAAAAATGGGGTGACGTAGGGAATGATAGATACCAAGCAGTGGCTCTGATTGGCTTTAACATGGCGAAGCCCAGGCTTATATTGGTTCCTCTTTCATCTGAATTGTGGACACTGACCTCCCCGCGGTGTCACCTGGGGAAAATATTTTCATCATCCAATGAAATAGTGCCGCGAGTTCACCCATAAGAACTATAAAAAATGGGTTGAGGCGTCGGAAAACCAAATCCCCCAATTTTGACGAAACACGCAAACGTATAATAGGCCACGATCTGTGAATTTGCACTTAGAATGTGCGCACGTTGTACAGAACAGGCGCAGTTTTTGTCTTGGCCTTATCGCCTTACGGGAAATGCGATGAGAAGTGACTGGCGTAAGTAAATCAGATGATTACGACCTGTATTATAGCTACCAAGAAACGAGAAATGAATTTGGCTGCGGATTTAGTGTTATCAGGAGATTAAAAGACCTCGTCTTTAGAATCACTCCAGTAGATGAGTGAATTGCTATAATCCGTATAAAAGCGAAGTTCTTCTACATCAGTCTTCTTTGTGTCCATGCTCCGACCGAAGACAAAGATCAGCAGACCAAAGACTTATTTTACGAGCGCCTAGAAACAGTTTATGACCGCTGCCCTGGCCATGACATTAAAATTCTACTAGGAGATTGTGATGAAAAAATCGGAAGGGAAAATATTTTTGGTCATGTTGTAATAGACGAAAGGGATTCATCAAGAGGTTTAGACGTTCTATCGATACGAGGAGCGAATATCGATTCGGACCACTGCCTTGTAGCAGCCAAGGTTCGCACTCGTCTTAATATAGCGGGAAAGAAGCAATCTAATACAACACGGAAAATCGACGTCGAAAAGATACAAACACAACAGATAGCAGAGGCCTACTCCTCTCAAATTACCCACCTGTATTACGAAAGCACTTCTTGTCCCTACAAACTGAAGCAAAAGCAACACTTGTGTGCCAAAAACCACCATCAAGAAACCCGTGGTCCGATCAGGAGTGTCGTAATGCTACTGATGTGAAAACGCAGCGCGTTGGGGAAACTCTGCAGACAGTAGCAACACGTAATGTGATGGAGAATTATCGGGAGAAAAGGAGAGAGGAGAAACGTGTTTTCAGAAGAAAGAACAAAAAAAAAAAAAACGTAAGCGTGAGTAAATCGAGATGTACAGAAGTCAGAATGAAGTCCGGAAATTTTACCAACGAGTAAAACACCAAACAGAAGGCTTTTGCGCAGGCACATCCTCCTGTAGAGATGAAGGCGGAAACCTGGTGACAGATAGCGTCCTGAGATCAGGAAGGAGCATTTTAAATAGCTTCTGGTATCAAATAGTGGAGGTGAAGAAGATACCCCACAACCAATAAGAGATGACGGTATGAAGTGTATACCACATAGCCAAGATGAGGTCAGAGTAGAAATTAATCGGCTGAAGGACAATAAAGCAGCAGGAGCCGTTGGAATTATCAGCCGAAATATTCATGACTGGTGGTCAGGAGCATGGACCAGCTGATTAGTACAATATGGCTAGAAGAATGCATGCCCAATGATTGGAACCTCAGCATCTTGTGTCCCGTGCACAAAAAAGAAGACAAGATATGACAAGTTATGCGCCAACTATAGAGAAATAAGTCTCCTTCCCATAGCATATAACGCGCTATCCAGTGTGCTGTGTGAACGACTGAAGCCAATGGTCAATGACATTATTGGACCATACCAGTGCGGCTTCAGACCTGGCAAATCCACAATTGACCAGATTTTCACTCTGCGCCAAATCCTAAAAAAAGACCCACGAAAAACACATCGACACATTCCACATATTCGTCGATCATAAAGCCACATTCGACTGCCCTATCCGTTCAGAGGTGTTTAAAGCCATGTCTGCGTTTGGCATTCCTGCAAAATTAATACGGCTATGCAGGATAACTTTAAGTGACACAAGGTCGGCAGTTAAAACAGGAAAGGAGCCCTTTAATACAGCCAGCTAAGTAAGTAGGTTAGGTTTGGGGATGTGCAGTCACTTATGTGGCTGCAGCACTCTGGGACCGTTAGGTCCGTTGTGATCATCCACGAGAAGAAAAGAGATAAGGGCAGATCCATAAGGGAGAGAAGATTGGGGAAATAAAGAGAGATGAAAAGCATACAGAAAGATATAAGAAGTTAAGATTGGTATAATGTCGATGGCTATAGAGATCACACAGAACCACTTTAGGTTTCTAACTATGATGTAAATTAGAGCAGGTTTGGTTGTTGAGAAGAAGCTAAGACTCGGTGGAAATTGAGCACCCACTAGTATGTGCCGCCTGTAAGCCAGGGCTGGACAGTGCCACAGAAGATGCTCAATTGTCTCCGTCTCCTCCTCGTCAACGCAGAGTCTACATTAATCGTGGTCCCATTTACTAGTAAAGTCCCTGATATTGCAACGACCAGTAATGATTCCGGTCATTACTCTTATTTCAGCTTTGCTCAGGTTCAACAGTGAGTGCGTTCTTTTGGTAGGCAGAGTCGGCCAAATAGATCTTGACACATTGCACCTAGGTTCGCGTTGAGCCAAAGTTCATAGGCTCCTTCTGTCGAAGAACGCCTCAAAGTTCCGATAAAGATGACATATGGATGGTTTGATTGAACCATAAATTCCTAGATCTTTCATTACCCAAGATGCCACGGTGTCCTGGTACCCAACACAGCCGATAGCTGTGAGTAAGTTCTTCTAAAGCTGTTCTACACTTGGGGACGGCCTCAGATTTGATATAGCAAGATTTGATGGCTTTAAGAGCCGCTTGACTATCCACGAAGATAGACACCGGTTCAACGACCTCTGCATCCAGACTTCTTATCAATTCCGCTGCCTTCCAAGTTCTTCTAAAGCTGTTCTACACTTGGGGACGGCCTCAGATTTGATGGCTTTAAAAGCCGCTTGACTATCCACGAAGATAGACACCGGTTCAACGACCTCTGCATCCAGACTTCTTATCAATTCCGCTGCCTTCCAAGTTGCAAAGATTTCAGCTTGGAAAACACTACAGTTGCAATCCAGCTTGCAGGTTAACTCAAGGCCTAGCCTTTCACATTAGACACAGGGGCGGCTAGGCTTTTCACAGTTGGATCCGTCTGTATAGAAGGCCAGACCGTCCAGAGGAGGGTTACTTCGGTTCCAGTCGTCTCTACTAGGAATAAGGACTAAGTAAGAGTAGTAGCAATCAATGTTTGTGCAAAATTTCAAAGCTCTATTTTAAATATTCCGACCATTATAGTGATTTCAACAGACTGAATGATATATGGCTACATCGACATAGTATTTTATTCTGATCAAAATAAACAGGTAAATATTTCGAGGATATAAAAAAATTTGCAAAATTTTTCTATATAATAAATAAAAAAAGATTTTTTTGAAAATTCCACTGTGTGTGTATAAGTATGTATATATATTTAATCTATATGCATAATAGTTGTACGTTTTTTTACAAAAATATAAAATGCCTACAAATCTAAGGAGAGGGGAAGGGGGGTGTTATTGGTTGTTTGGTTATGTTTGTTTTTTTTTTTAACATTAAAAGAAGGAAATACTACAAAATAATGTTTATAAAAAAATAAATGTTTGTTTTTGTCAAAAAGAAGATTGACTATGAAGCATTAAAGAGAGTTACAAAAAAAGTGGAACTGAAATATTTAAATGTTTTTTTTTAATAACAACCAATTATTATTTTGTTATCTTATTTAATCTGACTTACATAAAAATGAAAATAAGTATTATTATTATTAAATTTGTAGTGGTGTTTATTAAACATTTCACAGGATCACATACTAGGTAAGCAAAAAGGGTTTTGTGGTTTTGGCTAGGGATGATGATGATAATGCATTGAGGCGACTTTTCATCTGATCATTTCAGTTCTTAGGGATTTTGTACAACATCGTTGACTGAATTTGCATTAAGGGCGGCACTGCCGCCACCACCACCGCCTCCATCGCCTCCATTTGTAGTTTGCCCATTATTTTCACCCACAAGCCTAGCACTTAACCGTAGGGGTGAAGAAGATTCGGTGTCGGCATGAAATCCATTTGTAAGATTCGTTTCTTTTGGTTCGTCATCATCATCATCGCCGTCATCGTCATCATCTTCCATATGATCATCATTTAATAATTGTTGCTGGTCATAATCCAAATTATTTGCGGCAGGATTTTGAGGTGAAGAAGCAGCATGTTGAATGCCGCCACCACCACCGCCATCACCGTCACCACCATCATTACTAGCTGCACCATTGTGTTGTACATAGTTATTCTCAACATAACCATTGTACTCACTTAAAGAACTATGCGATGAACAACTTCGTCTACGACGTCGTGCTGCAGCCACCTCATCACATCGCCGCTCCTCGTCTTCGTTATCACTGCTTGATGACGATGAGGAGGATGAAGAACTCGAACTGGAGCTATCACTTTCACTATCTTCACTTGATGAGTCCATGGGTGTTGGTTGGCAGGCAGCACCAATGGGTGCAGCAGCTGAGGGTGGCGAAGCAGCCGCCGCTGCTGCAAATGCAGCGGAACGCATTAATTGACAGCGCAGATCTGCAAAAATAATAAGAAAAACAGGATGTTAATATTTTAAGTAAGAAAATTATTTGGTATTTTCGCCTATTCGGTTGAATATCGTGCCTGAAATCCTTAGAATACTGAAATTATGGAGATACAGTTATGTGGGGCCTACCCTGAACCTTGAGCCAAGCCAACAATAGCAATATTTCCCACCAAATGAGAACTTAAAATATCAAATTAGAGGCAATAGGGTTGATAGATGTGTCGGAAAATCCTCCGAGTATCGAAATTTAGGGTTCATTTATATGAGGACTAAGTCAAACATTGGACCGATATTAATAATAGTTGGTAGGATGTTTTTCACACCACGAGAAACCAAAATATGAATCTATATCCAATTCGGTTGAAAAATGTGTCGGAAATCCTCAGCATACCGAAAAATTTGGGTACAGCTTAATAGGGGCTACTAAACGTGGACCGATATGAATAATTTTTTGAAATAAGATTTTCCACCCCACGAGAACCCAAAATATAAAATTATAGCCAATTCCGTTGAAAAACTTCTCTTAAATCCTCAGAATATCGAAAATTGGGGGGTTCCGTTATATGGGGGCTATGTCAAAAATTGGACCGATATTAATAATATTTTGTAGAGAGATTTTCCACCGCATGAGGACCTAAAATAACAAATTTCAGATAATTCGGCTGGAAAACGTGTCGGAAATCCTCAGAATACCGAAAGATTAGGGTATAGCTTAATGGGAGCTATATATAAACGTTTACCGATATTGATAATTTTTTGTAGGTACAATTTTCAATGAGAGAGAACACTAAATAACAAACCAATGAGAACCCTAAATAACAAATTTCAGCCAATTAGGTTGAAAAATGTGTCAAAAATGCTCAGAATACCGAAAATTAGGTGTACCCCTTATTTGGATGATATACCTGAACGTGGCCAGATATTAATCATTTTTGGCAGTAAGGTTTTACACCTAGGGAGAACTCAGTATATGAAATAAAAGCCAATTCTGTTTAAAACGTGTCGGAAATGCTCACAATATCGAAAAGTTGGAGATACCGTTATATGGGGGCTAAGTCAAAAATAGAAGCGATATTAATAACTTTTGGTAGGTACAATTTTCACCCAATGAGGACCCTTAATAACAAATTTCAGCCAATTTGGTTGAAAAATGTGTCAATGAGGACCCTTAATAACAAATAACCCACGAGAACCCAAAGTATTAAATTATAGTCAATTCCGCTGAAAAAACTGCTCTGAATATCGAACATTGAGGGTTCTGTTATATGGGGGCTAAGTTCAAAATTGAACCGATAATTATATTTTTGGTAGGTACAAATTTCACCCTTGAGAACCCTAAATAACAGATATCAGCTAATTCGGTTGAAAAATGTGTCGCAAATCTTCAGAATACCGAAAATTTGGGGTATCCCTTATATGGAGGCTATATCTGAAAGTGGCCCGAAATTGATCATTTTTGGTAAGAAGGTTTTATACCTAAGGAGAACTCCGTATATGAAATTACAGCCAATTCGGTTTAAAAACGTGTCGGAAGTCCTCACAATATAGAAAATTGGGGGTTCCGTTATATGGGGGCTAAGTCAAAAATTGAACCGATATTAATAATTTAAAATTTTCAAAGCTCTATCTTAAATATTTATTTTAATGGGTCTTCGACAAATATTTTGAGATACTGCAAACGGAATGACAACTCATGGTAGAGAGTAGCAAACCCTAAGTCCCAGACGCTTCAAATGTTTTTATTTGATTTAAAGAACAAAACACTACATTTAATACTTACTATGATTCTCCCGCGACAGTTCACGAACTTTCTCCTCCAACATTCGCACCTTTGCCAAATATTCCGATGCTATACGTTGTATATTCATTTGTTGTTGCCTTTGGTTACCCTGATCCTTCGAATAACGATCTTCGATTTGTAAACATTCCTGTATCAGCTCCTGTTTACTTAAATTCTCTAAACGTTCCACCCTGGCCTTCTCATATACATTGGCAAATTCCTTTGTGAGGAATTCTTCTTCATCTTCGGGCAGTGAAAAGAAATAATTATCTTCAGAGTCCATGGAAAAACTAGAATCACGTGTCCTGCCAGAGGGTGTAAAGAGGCCGTTGGGAACTTCAGCTAAATGTTCTTCCATAAGAAATTTATTGGTATTGTATGGTACCAATGAACGAGAACGTTGTAATTTTTCACGGCGATTCGCAGAACAATTGCCGCCTCCACCACCACCGCCGCTGCTGCCTCCTCCACCACCTGGACCACATTTACTGTAATTAAGTCGTGGCATTTGAAATCTCCAATTGGTTTTCTTGTAGGGTTTATTAATATTTTTCGATTTCGGTTTGCCTCGACGATGTTTTCGTTTGGCTTTTTGCGGTAATTGTGGCTGCTGCAGTTGTTGTCCCGCCGCCGTTTGCAACTGCTGTTGCTGCTGCTGGCCCTGAGCAGTTGAAAGAGATCCATTTAATGGATTTTCAGCCGTCGCCACCGGTACCTTTTCATTTGACGTCTTAACGTCAATTGGAACGGTGGTAGGGCTTGGTTCTGAAATTATAAAATGAAAGTAAAGTTATTATTTATATAATATTGATTAAATGACATTAATTTAGGATATCTTGAAGGGTTAAAATTATAGACTTCATTTATAAAAAAAGATTCCAAACGTTCTGCTACATCAAAAAGCTAACACATTAGCCAATACAAATGAGCCATTAACATAGGGCAACATTTTTCCTATTATCGAATTCCATAAGCGAATTCCAATAAGCGCTGGAAATTTTGAATCATCAATAGAGGCTACAAAAAACATGTATTTTTTTGTAGGAAGATTTGTTTATAGTTTCTTACTCACAACTGGTACCTAGTACCGTAAAACTTTATGGCTGGTTATTGCCATTGCCGGTGTGCCCCAGTCTCCGCTATCCCGAGAAAAAAATATTCCTATAAATAATATATCTGTTCCAGAAACTGCAAGAATATCTCAGTAAATATGGATTTCTGCAAGACAAGAAATTCTGCAACAGGTTCTCTCGACCATCTGTTACCGACTACCTCGCCTGAGAACAAGCGGATTTTGCCAATGAAATAGCAAATGGGTGGTTGCACAGATCTCTAAATCAGAAGATTGTACGATTGTGAACCCCCTCGAGCAAGCTCGTCGGCTATATCGTTATTTCTATGTCCTGGAACCCAACATAAGTTAACTATCCGTTGTATATCATTCAGAGCGGACTTGCAATCAAGAACTGTTTTTTGAGTTCATAGTGCACGACTCCAAAGCCTTGAGGACCGCCTGTGGTTGGAAATTCAGGATCGTATTCAAGACTTGTCTGTGGTGTGATTCTAAGCGCCACGGTAGTCGGAATCGAAGCGATCGCTATACTGAATTTAATTTTGTCACCAGTATCTTTTTGTGGGGAGAACGACCGTCACATACAGCCAGTGTATGATCTCTGGTTTTAGTCCCCAGCTCTTACCAGTGGAGTTCATGCATGAGTAGAGTGCTATCAGTCACGTTAATTTGCGTTCAAGGATTGTAAAAAAGGTATTTGCTTCTTCAGAAAAGGGTTAGGGTCACTCCTCCCAAAAATGCAAGCGGAAACTAGGAATCTTACGTTTCCTAGTGAAGAGCGCCAATTCTGTCTTAGTGGGGTTTACACCAAGACCTTTGTGCGTATGTCCAGTTAGACATGAGTTGAAACGACACCCTCCAAAATATCTGAAATTGTCATTAGAAATTTCCCACCAACCAGCAAGTCTTCATTCATCGGCATAGGCTATAGCCTTTTTTTACGATGATCGAATTTCAGCAGTATCTCATTTATCACCAGAAGCCACAGAAGGGGAAATAATACTCCCCCCTGTGGTGTGGCCCTGTTGACAGATTTCCTCACGGAACTCTCTCCTAAGGATGAGTTGATAATTCTGCTTTCCAGCATTCTATCAATCCATTCCGTTAGAAGTGAGGGGATACCTGAGCTTACGAGAGCAGAATGGATGGCCTCTAGCTTCACATTGTTGAAAGCTCCCTCAATATCGAGGAACGCTGCCAAAGTGTAGCCACAAGCCTCCATATTCTTCTCAATGCGTCCACTGATTTGCTTGTGATGCATGCATGCTGGAAGTTGCTATGTTTGCTTTGATCAATAGTATTTCTAATTTCTGAGTCTAGTAACCTTTCTAAAGTCTTGAGTTATCTTGTTCCAAACGTTGTAAATGTGTCTGTCACTAAAACTCGGTGTGCAAAATTCTTCAGAACGTGGATGTATTCAAATCAAGATATAACTTAAAGTTTTTAAAAGTGAAATTATTTCGCCGCTACGTGGTATTTCGTTAAATAACGAAATTTGAAAGAAATTCTCATTTGATACTTTCAGAAAATATTGAAATTCTAGTCTTTCTCTATTTACAGAATTTCATTAGTCTACATATTCTGTTACCCGACACAGCGGTAGAGCTAATTAATCGGCAATTAAAACTCTTGGATTGAGCATTTTTTCCGGTAAACACAACCAACTTCGTTAGAATTTGACCTCCCGCTAAACGTTTTCCGTTTTCATTTTGTTGCAAACTCCACCACCCCAAAAATCAAACCGACGATATTTCATACTTTCTTGAAGCAACCATTCAAAAAATGTCACAATTTGCTCCCCACAGTTGTTCAACAACGGAGAACACAACGGCAACCCTTAAGAACAAAAATAAACTGACAGCCCGGCGACAAAACTACACCACCAAACGGAATACTCGCAGCAGCTCCACACAGAAGAAAAATAAGCAAAACAAAAAAGAGCGCAGCAACAAAAAACGAAAATCGACAAATTCTCGATAGTCGCCATTTGTCGTATCTGCAGCACGAACGAAGGGGGTCCGTTGATGTTATTAATGATGATTGTCTTTTTTTAATTAATTATCCGCAATATTTACCTGTTTTTACTGCCACATCCATTTCTCAAATATTATCTGCAAACAGATTTCAATTTAGTATTGTAACACTTTACACAAATTTTTTTTATTCCCAATGTTCAATTTGTTGATTCTCGGTTTGGTTCACTTTGTCACTTTAATTAAATCACTTGAGTCGTCCGCAACGTATTCGCACGATTTGAATTCAATTGCCATTTTCTCAATAATAAAAACGTCGCCTCGCTCATTCATAGTTGAGACCGATTTTCTGTTCAAGAGTAAAGCTACAAAAAATTGTAGTAGTAGTAGTGTTGTACGATTATCGAATATTTCATAGTTTACTAATTACTTTTTGTTGGGGAGTAATTGTGTTTTGTAGTGATAAGGAGTTGGAACAGAATGAAAGCAGATGGCGGTTGGCGTTTGGGTGAGTTTGTTGAAATGTGTGAGAAGTAGGACGTATGGTCTTGTAATTTTTATCATATGTAGTCCTCGAAGCTCTGATTACGATGATATTTATTGGCGGGAATTTGCATTTTCTAAGATATGGTCCTCCGAAGTTCGGCAGGTGCTTTGTATTTTTTCATAATTTTTAAAATTCAAAAAAATCATTTTAAAAATTCAATTCGTTGATGTTCTGATTACAAAAATGTAGTTTCATTATCAAAGAATTTCCGATTTCCATGATGAGAGGTTTCAAAATTTCGTGGGAACCTTTTAAAATCCTCTTAAGTAATAAGTGTACCCACTAAAAGCGACTGAAGTGATAATTGCATATCTGACCATAGGAGAAAGTCTGAAATCCCCTAGTCGAAGCCTATAACCATCCACCGTTTTAAATTGATACCAGCATTGTCCAGCATTGTAAAAGCGAATTTTAAAAAGCAAGGGCCTTTAACCACAAATTTCCATTGTCCTGGCGAACAAACTTTCCATGAAGAAGCCCTATGTTGCACTAGCCAAATTGTAAAAGCATGAGAAAATTAAGGGAGCTCAGCGGAACTTTTTAGGCCCAATCTCCGGAAGTATGGATTTCCGAATGAAAAAACGGCCACACGGACTACATATTATTGCAACAATATTCTTCCTGACATTTGGCTCCTAAAGTTCCGCTAAGACCATTGTATTTTGTAATGTCTTTAAAAATCAACAAAAGCAATATGATTATCTATTTATGACGGTTGAAATCTTTGGACTGTTTATTTGTTCGGGAAGTCTACAGTTCATATGGGTAGCAAAAATTCCTTATATACACTTTATTCTATAGAAAGAAATCCGCTACGTCACAGAATCTACTTTTAAATAGTTTTTAATGGGCTATATCTCAGGAATTATGTATTTCCGCAAGAACAAATGTATATCAGTGACTCCTTGTAATTAGTTCGCTATAGTGATCTACGATCGCCAAATATTGAAGCAAGTAGACACGTCTTTGAGTTTAGGGAAAGTTGTCCAACTTCATTGATTGCACGCTTTGAGATTATTGGCCAATTAGATATTGAGTTTCTACATCCAGATTTCTCAATTCATCTAGTTCTCGCTGTAGATATTGCGCATTATCCATATCGAAAATGTTTGTCAGCTACTTCATTTCCCTTTATGAAATTATGACCTGGTTACATAGTAAATGTTCTCCTTCTATACGGTGGTATTCCACACGATATTATATGATTGGACATAACCGGTCAAAAAAATACTCTTAGGCTCTATATCCACATTCATTCCATCTAGTTGTCACTGTATATCTTGTGGATTTTACAAAATTCGCAGATTAGAGACGACTTTACATTAACATTAATTGCTATATTGATTGACTGCGATTCACATTGAGCAGGCTCGCCAGCTACTTCAGTGTAACTTCGAGACATCCGAGGCAAATGACCTTTGAAGTTGATACTGGTGCTGATGATCTTCCCATCGAAATAATGGATGAATCAACAGCATGAGCAACCATCAAAAGTGTCAATGCAAAAAACAAAATTTGGACAAGAGTGTCACTCAAAAGTGATAGTGTGTACGCCGCTTTAGACTTTTCAGTACAGATAACCGATTAATCGATTAGTTGAAAGTCGATTTAGTTACCCCTAGTAACCGCATTGTATTAATAATTTTTCCCCTTTTCTAAAATACAACTTTCTTTCGTGGCTTCATATTGTTTTTGTTCTTGAAACGAAATAATTTAATAAAAATAAGCGAATAAGTCATTAAAAGTCACGTTAAACACCCGAGCAACAAATAAACTATAAAAATGGCGGCACGTAAAGGAGCTCCCACTGCTGAGGATTTGTCAAATGTGGAATTCGAGACAAGCGAAGATGTGGAGGTCATACCCAGTTTCAATGCAATGAACCTCAAAGAGGAATTACTCAGAGGCATTTATGCTTATGGTAAGTAGAACGAACCTACTTGGTGCCACATCATTTTCGAAAGTATTTTCACAAAATTTTAACTATTCCTACCACTAGGTTTTGAAAAACCCTCTGCCATCCAGCAGCGTAGTATTAAACCAATTGTCAAAGGGCGGGATGTTATTGCACAGGCTCAGTCGGGTACCGGTAAAACGGCAACATTTTCCATTGCAATACTACAGAGTTTGGACACATCGTTGAGGGAGACCCAAGTTCTCTGCCTGTCGCCCACACGTGAATTGGCGGTACAAATTCAAAAAGTTATTTTGGCATTGGGTGATCTAATGAATGTCCAGTGCCATGTTTGTATTGGTGGTACAAATTTGGGTGAAGACATACGTAAATTGGATTATGGCCAGCATATTGTTAGTGGCACACCAGGTCGTGTCTTCGATATGATTAAGCGGAGAGTTCTACGTACTCGTGCCATAAAAATGTTGGTGCTGGACGAAGCCGATGAAATGTTGAACAAGGGTTTTAAGGAACAAATCTACGATGTTTATCGTTATTTACCACCAGCAACACAAGTGGTGTTAATTTCTGCTACCCTGCCACATGAAATCTTGGAGATGACATCGAAATTTATGACAGACCCCATTAGAATATTGGTCAAACGGTAAGTGATGAAATTGAAATTTATTTTTCAAATCTGGTTATAGAGCCGGCATTACTGCAAAAGATGGGAGAATGATTTTTTATAGATATTTACTAGATAATATTTTATAATAGAAACAGTAGTTCAGTCCCACAAATAAATGACAAGGTATAGAGAGGTCAGTTATAGTCTATATGTATAGCCCGGCGTAAAAAATTACAAGCAGTAGAGGCATCAGAATTAGCAAATAAACGTTATGAGCATGGGGAATGGGTAACGCTGGCGTCTTCCATCGATTAAGTGTCCAAAACTACATTTATTTGAGAAGGGCTCAAATATTACAGATACTTTGAAGGATAACAAACATAGATTAAAAATATGAATTTCATTGTTCAAGGGTCCCAAACTATATTTATTCGAGAAAAAACGGCTTAAATATTACAAATATTTCGCCAGCTACTTCAGTGGAACTGAATGGCAAATGACCGAGGCCAACGACCGTTGAAGTTGATACTGGTGCTGATGATCTTCCCATCGAAAAGATTAATTTCTGCCATCGGTTTACCGAACGGGACAGGGACTCGATTTCCAATTAGGAATTCCTTCTGATTAAAAGGAATCTCAAATTAATTCGAAATTTCTCTCGGAACTATTCGATTGACACCGCGAGGAACTTCTTAAATAGATTCTTTAAATATAGATTTCAAATAAGGATTTCATTGATTAAGGTTTCCAAATACGTCGGAGAGAAACAAATATGCGTGGATTAGGCGATCAATTGGTTGGAATGGCAAAAAAAAGGTAGATATAAGACTTCTTGGTTTTAGTTTAGTTTAGGGGCTCATCTCCGATTTTTCTTAAATATTACCTTCATTGGTCCATAAATGACGAAGTTATGAGCCTAGGAATTTCAGAACTTCAGAGTTCCATATCTCGGGAAGTATGAACTTCACCCATGAAAGTCAAATATTTTCGCAGCTCCACACAGAAGAAAAATAAGCAAAACAAAAAAGAGCGCAGCAACAAAAAACGAAAATCGACAAATTCTCGATAGTCGCCATTTGTCGTATCTGCAGCACGAACGAAGGGGGTCCGTTGATGTTATTAATGATGATTGTCTTTTTTTAATTAATTATCCGCAATATTTACCTGTTTTTACTGCCACATCCATTTCTCAAATATTATCTGCAAACAGATTTCAATTTAGTATTGTAACACTTTACACAAATTTTTTTTATTCCCGGGACTCGATTTCCAATTAGGAATTCCTTCTGATTAAAAGGAATCTCAAATTAATTCGAAATTTCTCTCGGAACTATTCGATTGACACCGCGAGGAACTTCTTAAATAGATTCTTTAAATATAGATTTCAAATAAGGATTTCATTGATTAAGGTTTCCAAATACGTCGGAGAGAAACAAATATGCGTGGATTAGGCGATCAATTGGTTGGAATGGCAAAAACAAAGGTAGATATAAGACTTCTTGGTTTTAGTTTAGTTTAGGGGCTCATCTCCGATTTTTCTTAAATATTACCTTCATTGGTCCATAAATGACGAAGTTATGAGCCTAGGAATTTCAGAACTTCAGAGTTCCATATCTCGGGAAGTATGAACTTCACCCATGAAAGTCAAATATTTTCGTGATCATGGAGACGAGACCTACACTAAACTCAACTTCTTCCTTGGTTTGTCAGTGAGTACTTGGAGGCCCTGGTGATACCAACGTTGGCGTCGGTTCGCTTGGATTCGGAGTACGAAGATGACTATGTCTGTTGGAGTTGCCAATCCAGGGCAGTTGCCAATCATCTACTTGGCGCATCTTCCCGGTTGTCGGATGGGAAGTGGGTTTCTATGATGTACAGGTTGAAGCTGACCTAAGTCAAACTAGGTCGGATTTTTTCTCTGCACTTCGTGGAAAACCTTGGGGACCTTCGGATCCCCTGTGGACCTAAATGGATCAGGGTAGTACCCTTAAATTAATTAACTAAGGTGTTAAAAAGAACAGGAGAAATATAGTTACGGTGCAGGTAGTTGATAACCCAGTACCGGCGGGAATTGTTGATGAGACCACAAGCCACGTGTCGTCGAGATCAAGCGATTGTGATCCGTCTGCAGCGCATCAAGTTTACGAAAAAGATGACGATGTCTGGTTTGTTGTTCAGCTTCCCTTGAAAGACGATAAGATCTTGGGCGATTAATATAAAAAGGCAATGATGCGCTTTATACGTTTGTAGAAGAGTTCAAGCAAAAATTAGCATAAAAAATACACTGAAATCGTAGACGGATGCAAAGCACAAAGAAGTTAAAGAGACGAAAAAGGAAAGTATTACCTACCTCATCAAGCGGTGATACGAGAGGATAGCTTATCCCTGAAAGTTAGGGTGGTTTTCGATGCTTCATGTACCATCACTACCAACGGAAGAAGTCTCAATGTCATTATGTATGTGGGACCCCGTTTCTAAAGATATATTTTCGACATATTAATTCAAAAACAAAATATATGCGATAATGGCAGACGTGGAGAAGATGTTTAGGAAGATGATGATCGACGAAGAAGTATGGACTTCTTCGACAAGAATAATACATTTATGTAATCAGAAATTCAAGCTCATCATGAGAAAATTCAAGGGCCAAATTGAAACTTTCGAGGCTTACATTTCTGGAAATAATCCGTATCTGCATAAAATAATTCCTACCGTTGTAATTAGGATATCAAGGACTAACTCGGAGCCTTTTTGAACCACCACAACAAACACTTGAAGCTCCTGTTTAAAATACTGGCGAAGGACGATTGTTGTTAACCACCTTGCTTCAGATCTTATTACAAAGAGACGAGACGTATCTTTTTAGAAGATAACATTATAAATACTTTTTTATAGCCACACAATTATAATCGTAATTTTTTAGGAATACCTTTTTAAAGCCATAAATGAAGTCCAAGGAGATCAGCAATTAAAGTAGAATATCACAAATATTAATCTAACATAAATCAGAACCCCCGCTGGTCTAATTTTACACATTCAATCTTCAATAGGGTTATCTTTTTTATTTTAGACTATATATATATATATACATACTATATATATAGTTTCCGAGGGGCCAATAGAAATGACACACATTTTCATTTGAATTATGGAAATTTAAACTAATTATAATTTTACTTTGTTTTTCAGTGATGAATTGACACTGGAAGGTATCAAACAATTTTTCGTCGCTGTCGAACGTGAAGAATGGAAATTCGATACATTGTGTGATCTGTACGACACTCTGACCATCACACAAGCTGTTATTTTCTGCAACACAAAACGTAAGGTCGATTGGTTGACGGAGAAAATGCGTGAGGCAAATTTCACAGTTAGCTCTATGCACGGTGATATGCCACAAAAGGAACGTGACGAAATTATGAAAGAATTCCGTGCCGGTCAATCACGTGTCCTCATTACCACCGATGTCTGGGCACGCGGTATTGATGTTCAACAAGTCTCACTGGTTATTAATTACGATTTACCCAATAATCGTGAATTGTACATTCATCGTATTGGTCGTTCGGGTCGTTTCGGTCGCAAGGGTGTTGCAATTAATTTCGTCAAATCCGATGATATTCGTATTTTGCGTGATATTGAACAGTACTATTCGACACAAATAGATGAAATGCCAATGAATGTTGCTGATTTGATTTAAGCTGGAGGAGGAAAGTTCGATGTTCGATGGAGGCAACAACAAATATTTTATTTAGCTTAAATAAATACTTATTAAAAAAAGAAAACAATATTTCCATGGTAAGAAAATGGAAGCTCATCCAGAAAATTATAAAACTGAGGATTTTTTCTATTTCGAACAAAATTAAGCATTTCGCTAAATATGAAAAAATGAATTAACTTTGCGTTTATTACAAGAAATGCTTAATTGAATTAAGGAATCACTTCGTATCATTTATTTTTTATACCATCCATAATTGCGTGTATAAATTTAACAACTATAACAACAAAAAGAAAAACAATTATAATACATTTAGTAATAAAACTAAATAAAACAAATTTATTTAACAAAATATTGGATTTGATTTTTTTGTTCCATTTAACGCGTGTTTAGATTTCGGGCTTCACATTCAACGAATATTACTTGAAAGTATCTTCTATCTGAGCGAATTTGTATCTATGAAATCAAAACATAATTGCTGTTAACGATTTCAATTAGGACAATAATTCAGGAGGTTGAATTGTCAATGCATTGCAATCAAGAATACAATTTATAGGACATATCTAGGTGATATGAATCTACAGCATGGATTAAAAAAAGATACTGCTTTCTAAACTGCTTACTTAGACCATAGTAGCATCTGTTGGCCATCACAATCCTTCTCCGAATTTCAAAACTGATGTTATTCGTTTTATTTATGGCGGTACCAAAGTATATATTAAATCATTAACTACCTCGAAGCTGTAGTTCTCAAGTTCCACAGTTGGTCCGAGTCTACTGGACGTCTTGCGCTTTGATACCACCAGCTTGGTCGTTTAATGCCAAACCCACTTTGGGAGACTCCATCTCAATTTGTTAAAAGGTGGCTATTACCACTCTCAATGTTCGGCTCATTATGTTCATGTCAGGATGTTAAAAAGGTCACACGACAAACTGTCACCTTGTCTGAATCCTCGTTCGGTATTGAAGGGCTCCGATAGGTCCTTTCCGATTTTAACTGCTGACCTTGTGCCACTTAAAGTTATCCTGCATAGCCGTATTAATTTTGCGGGAATGCCGAAAGTAGACATGGCTTTAAACACATCTGAACGGATATGGCTGTCGAATGCGGCTTTATAGTCGACGAATAGGTGGAATGTGTCGTGTTTTTCGTGAGTCTTTTCCATGATTTGGCGAAGAGTGAAAATCTGGTCAATGGTGGATTTACAAGGTCTGAGGCCACATTGGTATGGTCCAATAATGTCATTGACCATTGGCTTCAGTCGTTCACACAGCACACTGGATTGCACTTGATATGCGATGGGAAGGAGACTTATTCCCCTATAGTTGGTACATATCGTCTGGTCCCCTGTTTTGTGCACGGGACACAGAATGCTGAGGTTCCAATCATTGGACATGCATTTCTCAAGCCAAATTATATTCATCAGCTGGTGCATGCTCCTGACCAGCATCTGATCACCAGTCTTGAATAGTTCGGCTGGTAACCCATCGGCTCCTGCTACTTTATTGTTTTTGAGCCGATTAATTGATTTTATGACCATCATCCCTTATTGGTTCTGGGGTATATTCTTCACCGCCACTATTTGATACCAGAAGCTTTTCTAAATGCTCCTTCCAGAACCTCAACACTGTATCTGTCACCAGCTTTCTCTCTTCATCTATACAAGATGATGTTCCTGCACCGAAACCTTCGGTTTGGTGTTTTACTCGTTGGTAAAATTTCCGGACTTCATTCTGACTCATGTACATCTCGATTTGCTCACGCTCACGTTTTCTTGTTCTTTCTTTTTTTCTGAAAATACGTTTCTCCTTTTCTCCCGATAATTCTCCATCAAATTACGTGTTGCTACTGTCTGTAAGGTTGCCCTATACGCTGCGTTTTTCAGATCAGTAACATTACGACACTCCTGATTGTGCCATGGGTTTCTTGGTGGTGGTTTTTGGTACCCAAATGTTGATTTTGCTGCAGTATGTAGGGAGTGGGCATTTCTTTGCCATTGTACTTCTATATTATTATCAGGACAAGAAGGGCTTTCGTCAAACAGGTGGGTAAGTTGAGCGGAGTAGGCCTCGACTACCTGTTGTTTTTGCAGCTTTTCGACGTGGGGTTTCCGTGTTGTGTTAGATCGCACCTTTGCTGCTACATTAAGACGGGTGCGAACCTTGGCTGCTAGAAGATAATTGTCCGAATAGATATTCGCTCCTCGAATCGATCGAACGTCTAATACACTGGACGATTGCCTTCCGTCTATCACAACATGATCTATTTGATTTCTCAGGAGAAGTCCAGGCGGGCTTGTGTACATCGAGATGATTGAATCTGGTGCTGCTAACTACCATGTTTTTGCTGCCGCGAAGTCAATCAACCTCATGCCGTCAATCAATCAAAGATGCAACTAGACGTAGATCTAATAAAACAATATTTTTTAAACAATTTTTAAAACTGCATTTTCGATATCCTCCTTGGATAAAATAAATGGTGATAGACATTTTAAAATGTATTATTTTATTTATTTACAAAAAAATCTATTACTTAAGCTTAAAATAATAAATAACTTAAATTATTATGTCTTATACTAAAAAATACAAATTAATTTCCATTCCATCCACTACACAACTAATCTATAATTCTGTTGTTTCCAATTTCCTTGCAAGTATCTGAGCATTATTAGTTAATTTATCAATTTGATTGTAAACATTAAAGTGACGATTTAAATCGTTGGTGTGACTGAATAGTTTCGCCGTACCCTTTAGGGTTTCCTGTATATTGGGTGTACCCACGGCCAGAAAGTTATCATCCAAACTGTCGTGACCACTTTGACTGTTGAGAAAAATAAAAATGTTATGAACATTTCGATATTTTAAATTGTATTTTACTCACCTTAAATTTTCATCGTTTTTGAACCATTCATTTTCATACCCCTTCAGCCAAATGGGATTAGAACCTTGGACACTATGTTTATTCGTATTTGGGACACGTGTAGTTGGTTCATGGGGATTTTGTAGAGATAGTGATGAATTTCCTGAAATGAGGAAGGATGCATATAAAATGTATACTGAAGCGGATCAACTCTATTTTTATTCAAATTTTATTTACTACAGTATAAACACATACGTTTTATTAATCATTTAAACACTAAAATGCAACCCTGCTTTAAACATTTGAAATTAACGGTTACTTATGTAAATAATCTGTAAATAGTACCATAACATTACATCTCTGAATCTACTACATTATTACACAACCAATACTAGACGAGGATCTGTTTCTCTTAAGTAGTACCTAAGCTCAATTTAATTTCAATAAAATCGCTACACTCCGAGTCCGGACTCCCCGACTCTAATTCGTTTGGCGAACTCTGAAGGCTTAAAATCATTTACCACGCTTGCCCAAGTTGATGGACTCAGATCATAAGCTGGAAGTAGTTCCTAAACAAGGAGTGAACACTACTTTATTTTATTGTGGTTTCGGTTGAAGCCATACAAGCACCGCTCACGCCCAACGTGAAGCTTGCTTCATTGATACCCAAATCCACTTTAACACCCAACGTGAAGCCTGCTTCATTCACGCTCAACGTGAAGCCTGCTCCATTAACACCCAAAGTGGAGCCTGCTTCATTGACACCCAACCCAGTGGCCAGGAACTACGATCTATAAGTAAAAGCCGAGGACAACACCAACAAATCAGTCAGCCTTCTTTAAAATGCTATTACTTTTAAAAAAAAAATATTTCCTAAGCTTAGAAAAATATATTAAAAAACATAACCCCTTAACCCCTTAACAAAGGATGATTGTTAAATGACATTTTCTAGACCTCAACAAGGCGGAAATGATGGAAAACTGAATATCTCAAAGAATTGCATGAACGGTACAAGTGGCAATATATCGAAGGAGTATAAAATGTAATAAATGTAGTAAACGTCATTTATTTGAATATTATTACCATATACAGTTATTTTCATGAATATATATTATTTTTACATATATCTGATTATTCCTTACTATAACTGATAAAAAAATTCTTAACATTATGGAAAAGAAAATATTGAAATTTTATACGGATTTAAGTCAAAAACCTAATGGTTTTGGTTAGGTTTCCGACGTTTCCGACGTATGTATTATACGTCGGAAATGTATGTAATTTACGTCACTGTTTCTGACGGACCATCTCTGAATGTGATATACTCTTAGAAAATGAGGCGGATTAGAAGACGGAATTCGGTAATCACATGGGGCATGCTGACATAAAGACTTCAGGCGAGATTCGTATTGCGAACCCTATACTGTCCCCAGAATCAGGTATTTGGCATTGCAATTGGGACTCTTCGAACTTTAAGTAAATTTTTGAATCATTTCTTTATTTTTCAAATACTTACGAAAAATATTAACTTTAGCTGCCCTCAGTTGACGTTTATAGCCGCTGCGTTGAGAGGCACACAAGGCCAGGGTGACGACCAACAGTGTTGCCAAGAAGAGATTTGTAAAGACTAACCAAATATACATGGCATTTGCTTGTTGGCCAGCTTGCAATAATTGAGCCTCGGCCGGCTGCGTATCCAAGACATTTAGATCCTTAAACAGTCCATCTAAATGTTCTATATGAGTATCGAAGAGATTCAAGGCATCCGCTACTTCGTAAATAGAATTATCTTCTTTGCCAACTAAATGCATATATAAATCCGTTTTGGTTTTATCCACCGAACCATCTTTGTTCTCGTGGACCTTAATCTCATCTATGTTGACAATGGTGTCGGTAATGTTGCTAAGGGTTCTATTGAGGGGAAATAAAAATTAGATATTTAATTTTTTTCAGCTATGAAGTTAATACTCACTCCCGAAACCTTTGTATTTTCTCTCGCAGCTCATTCGGTTGTAGACGAAAAACAAAACGAACTTTTTGATCTTCCCTTAGCAAATAGATAAAAACATGAGCCACATCCTTCATGCCCACCGTATCATTGGCCAAGACCATAAAATCAAAGTAACCCTTCATACCCTTTTGAGGATCAAAATTCAATTGTATTTCACCCGTCTGTTGATCAACCAAAAATGGTGAGGTTCGTATATTTTCCAAACCCTCTGACAGAGTTTGCCGGATTTCTCCCACTTGATAGTAGTTTATTATGGCATTTGGTCCTTCATCCAAATCCTCTGCCTCGACACGCATAAACCGTGTACCAAAATCAGCACTTGTTGTTATACCACCGGTGAAAATTTTCGAACGAAATCTAGGTGGATTATCATTGATATCCAAAACATGTACTCGTACCCTAACAATCGTACTATCGCTCATTAGCAATTCTTCACTGCTAGCACTCGTAAAATTCCCATAATGATCATATTCAAAATGCTCAATTGAACGCAAATTTCGGGAATGTTTATAACGATCGTAACCCTCTTTGTTGCGCAGGAAACCTCCCTGACGTCGATTGTGAGGTCTAGTGGGTTCGTAATCAATTTCGATATCGAGATTTTTGTGAGCAGCCTCCACATTGAATGCTCCTGTTCCCGATTCATTACAATTTTCTGTCGCTTTGACGTACAGATTATAGAATGCTTTAATTTCTCGATCAAGTTGTTTTTGTGTTGTCAAAATATGGGTCTCTGGATCCAAATGGAAATTTTCCTCATCATTGCCTTTAACAATGAAGTAACACACTTGACTAGGTGGATCATCCAGATCGTCGACTTCGTCTTTATCAATTGTATCGGGTAGTTTTACACGTTCCGCACCAGGATCAGCGTGTTCTGCAAATAGATAGATAGGGGTGATATAAAATATACATCAATTACTGTGTTTGCAGTTCTTAAAAAAGAATAAAATAGTTATAGGTTGGACCCTCAATCTAGAACTTGTAATAAATCTAACGATTAATTAAGTCGAAGGTCCTTTATATTTCATAAGGTCCTACATAAGGTCCTTTATATTTCGGCACTAACTTTTTATTGGTCCCTATCGTAGTATCGACATTCCGTATAACTACAAAGTCACCTGTTTTAAATGTATTTACTACGCCCCCTTTTGCCTTAGACCGTTGCTCGCTATATGCCTGCGACTTCGAAATTGCAGCCTCAGCCTTGTCTCGTATGTTCTGAATACCTTGAGTTGTTATCTTTTTGACCGCATTCACTAGAATGGCGTCTTCTTTTCATTTCATCATCATTCTTCCTTCGTTACATTTGACTCTTATGATCTAATTTATAGTCGGTAATCTATTACATGGTTAAAGACAACATTGTCGAATATGACCCTTCAAATTGGAAAAACTGCGCAAAAGACAGACGCGCCTATAAATCTTTTTAAGCTCGGATGAGGAACGAAAGTTCTGTCACAAGCCAGCTAAGTAAGTAATTAATCGAATTGAGAATCCTGGGGGTATACACTTAGCACACCTTTATATTTAAACTAACAATAGATTTATACAACTTTCGGATATATAGGTCCATCTTCTATGGTACCTCCCCCACAAACTTCAGGTTTAGTGTATTCTACATTCAATATGTCATAGGCTGAATGTATATATCTGCCGACAATACCTACTATTTATCTCTCAACAAAATGTGTGGGTCATAATATGACCCCAACATAATATATGTTAATTTTTTACGAAGTGCCCATAGATTGGCTAATAGGACATCTTCCGAATGTTTCTCATTTTGAATTAAATAAGTAATCTTACCCGTAAAATTTACAGCAATCTCGTCGACAATAAATTGCGGTTCATATTCGTTGACATTGCGTATATAAATGGTTAAATCCAAATCGGTACTCAGTGATGTTGGTAAACCCTGATCATAGGCTTCGATGCGTATCTGGAAAAATGGAACACATATTCATTTAAAATCCATTCAAAATCATTTTAATTTTATTCCGCTACCCACCTCATGTATTTTTTGTTTATCACGATCTAAGGGTTCTTTCAGAAACAAATGGCCCGTTTCCGAATCTAATTCGAAAAGTTTATAACTTCCGAGGGGGTCAGGTTTAAGGCGATAGTGAACCAAAGCATTCATACCAATATCCTCATCGGTGGCCATAACTTGTAGTATTAGTGAACCGACAGTGGCATTTTCAGGTACACGCACTGTTGTATTGTGTAGGGGTTGTATGAACACCGGAGCATGATCATTAAAATCGGAAATACAGATGTCAAGAATTTTCGTAACGATATTTGGTGGAGCACCTAAATCTCGAGTGGTTATTGTTAACGAATGATTGCCGTAACGATTGCGCAATGATGTCCGTGCATAAATGTGGGCATTCCATGCATCTATCTGTCGCAGCTCAAATAATTCTGGGAAAATATAGGGGAGGAGAAATATTATTTAATAAAATTATATTAACATTGGTCGAAAACAAGCACCCCAAAATACCTAATACGAAGGCAGTTCGGAAAGTTCTTAGCCTAGCACAAAAAGCGCGGTATAAAAAGTTTCCTTTCTGTATGAAGGAGTGTTAAGTGTTTCCAAAACGCTTATCTTGTTTCTGTTATATCGTGTTTTTTGTGCTAGGCTAAGAACTATCCGAACTGCTCTCGTATATTACGGGGCCCTTCGGTTACAAAACTGGCTTAATCTTTCAAAAAATGGCAGAACTTAAAATTGGCATTCAGAAAACTCCAACTTACCCTCCTGATTTCCTTTGGTGATTTTAAATTCCAATCTTCCATTGGGGGTCTGCGGATCATCAGCATCTTTACCCTTGATGGTGGCAATTTTTTCATTTAATTCATGGTACTCGGTAATTAGGACACACGACGAGGGTACAGATATCTCGGGGACATTATCATTTTCATCCAGAATTGTAATACTAAAATCAAGTCCAAATAAATTAAATGTTCTCGGACATCAAAATCTTCACATTACTTACAAAACCTGTTTAAACGCATTACGCGATTCACCGGCCAAGAAGCCAAATTGATAATTATCCCATGCCTCAATGACTAGCATATAGAAATCCTTTGTCTCACGATCCAGCTTATCGATAACACTTAGCACCCCCGTATCGGCATCAATGGAAAATTTACCCTGCGAACTAATGCGATCCATTAGGAATGTGATTTTTCCAAAATCTCCTGAATCTGCATCGGCCGCTTGTATGGTACCAATACGTGTACCCACCACAGCGGATTCACTGATGGTGTAATTTTTTGAACCACCAATAAAATAAGGATTATTATCATTTTCATCGAGCACAGAAACGAAAACATCTACCAGTGATGAACGTGGTGGAACTCCCGAATCGGTGGCTCTTACCGAAAAATTCAACCATTGATATTGTTCATGATCAATTTTGTTGGCTACCACAATTTCTCCTGTATGCGAATCCATATGAATCATTTGCCTTATCAAGGGGTTACCTTCCAAACTATAGGTTATCGTACGATTCTTATCGATATCATAGGCAATCACGTTGGCTATAAGCACCCCATTCATACTATTCTCCGTTATTGATCGCTTATAGAATGGTTGCTTAAATTTCGGATTATTATCATTTTCATCGGTCACCTGTATTGTTAGGAAACTTTCCACCACCTGACGACCTTTGGCGGCTGCCAAATCCTCTACAATAACTGCCAATTTGATGTGTTCGACCCGTTCACGATCGATTAATTTCATTAGCTGCAGGGTGCCATCAATAGGATCTAAATCGAATATTGCAATATAATCATATTCACTTTGTTTCACAATCGTTCCCTCTTCGTTACGTGCCTCAGAATTGTGGGCATTGATTTTATAACGAATTATGGGATTTTCATCGGAATCGTTGGCCACAATTTTATATATTTGTGTTCCAACGGGGGTATTTTCCACAATTTGTAGTGTTGGCAATTCTGTTAGTATGGGTAATTTGTTATTAACATCTTTGATGGTTATATTAACCGTGGCTATATTCATGAGCTGCGAATTCCCAATGCCACCGTCAATGGCAAGCTGAAAGAAAAAAGAGCGGCATTTGAAATAAAAATAAGTTTTTCTTTAGTTTTAGATTTTTAGTTTCAATAAGGTACACCATTTTTTAAGGACTTAGGTAATGGGCTGATGACATATGGACAATCTCTGTGCAGCTATTTGCTATTCAGACTTGCATCTTGTTCTAGAGGCTTCCTTTTATAACGCTGGACTTTTCTTTATAGGCAATGCACATTCTTCCTGACACGTCTGGGTGGCGGATGATTCTGTCTGAAGCACCCTAGGATGTACTGCAATGCTATCGTAAAGGAAGGATATTCGTCTCCTCGTGTAGAAGGTCCACAGGTGTCATTAGGATGCACTGTGTTGCAGTTCTCAGGTCGGGGTGCTGGTCTGTACCCCATGCTGGGAGAAAATTCTGATTGTTGTCATGAATGTAAGCCCAATAGAAATTAAAAACACTGCATCAGTCTGAACGCAATTGAGCCAAAACTACTCTCAGCTGTCTAGGCAACTGATGTTATTCAGGGTGAACCCCGAGAACGGATTTCTTTATTTATTTAGCACATCGGCAACTGCATTTGTGTGAATGCTATTCAGACTTGCTCGATAGGCTACGCGGGGGCTCGGGACCCTTCGAGAATAAATTTTTGTCTGCATCCAAAACGTTTTTTTTTAATGAAAAAAGTTCCGGAGATATCACCCACCCTGGGGAATTCTCTGCTTCACACTATTGGGCTTGGACTCTCAATACCGGAACTCCGAGTACGACTAGCATCCGCACATGTAATTGATTATCGAACGTTTCAAAATTGACCTGAGGGAGGCATTCTCGATGTCCTCAAACTGGCATGAATGATGGTATCAAAGGATTTTGATAGGCTGTGTGTTATCAACACTGTTCTAAAGAACGGCCGATTTTGATTTAGCCTTCGATTTTTGTATCAATATGGAAATGGCGCCCAACGGTGTTGTTGTGCTGTGTTGCTTACGGAACAGATGTTGATGATCCGCAACTGGGTGGAGCTTTCCCTAATGCTTCAAGAGTCTTCGTTACTGGTGACAAAAATTGGATTGGTCTGAACGATTAACTTTTGCAGCAGGATCACCCGGCTCATTGTTCAGGCTTCGGGCTATTGAAAAATTAAGATACTCATCATGTTGTTTCAGCAGTCAGGGTCCAGCGCTTACGATGAATTAGTGCCACCGATGACACTGGATACATTATACATAGTAAACTGTGTTTGTACCTCCTCGGAAGGAAAAGGTCTTAAACGACGCAGTACTCTTCGCTTCCGGAATGCTTGACAAAGTGTATTGTAAATAAACTTGCTGCTGACATCCAACGTTAGTTCCCTGACCCTGGAATCTGCTGGGTTAGACCGACAAAGCTCATCACGCTCATTTTCTATGCCAATTGCCTCTGTGGTGGTACCTTCTCGACGTGAAGAGATTTTAAACGACGTCGAACTCTTCGCTGTAGGATGTTCGAAAAAGTGTTAAATTTGTCTAATGTGCTATCATCCGAGGGTAACACAAACATTGTCGTCTTAGAATGGCGGAGCAGTGATGATGCCGATACTATGGTAAAGGAAGTAAGTAAGATAAGCTCACAACAAGGAAGTTATGTGGAGAACAGAGACGAAAATCGGCCTAATTGAACCGGAGGAACAAATGCGAACAGCAAACTAATGCTTAGAAGGATATTCCTGCCTTCCCTCCACGTCATCGGAAGCGGCGAAGAGAATTAGGTCTCCGGAAGAACAGGCGAGTGCCAAGTTTGAAAAAAGGCAAGTGGCTTCCCGTCGAATGATAAAAAGAGAAACCCAAGCCAACCTCGAGAATCCATTGACAGAAGGCGGTAAAGCTGGCTTTAATATAAAGAAGACAAACCCTGAATCGGAATATTCCGTAATGAATGGGAATCCCAAAAGAAATAACCGGACTCCACTACAAAGGGCAATAGTGTTCGTTGGAGATTGGGGCAGCGAGTTCACGACAGAACGCATGATCGATGCCTTTGGTCAGTAGAACAAGACGTGGGAAGTTTTACACAGGCAGGAGATTGAAAAAGGGACTCTCCTTGTGGTATGCTTGGACAAGACTTCAATGGAGAAACACCGAGCAACGCAAATGAGGGAGCCGAGGAGAAAATAACAGACTCTGAAGTAGATCGTGTAATGGAGGCCATTGATCGGGGTCACCCAGATATACCTCCACCGGAGTCTGGTGGAAAAATTCATTAAAGGCAATATACACAGCGGGCTAATACAGGAACCTTGGACGGTTAAAAACAAGGTCTCGGACTATACCATATATATTATTAACTATTTTACACAAATGCAGGCTCCCGACCCAGAACCGAAGGATTATATCTATCTATATATATAAAAATGAATTGCTGTTCGTTAGTCTCACTAAAACTCGAGAACGGCTGAACGGATTTTTCTGATCTTAGTCTTGAAATGTTCGTGGAGCTTCAGGGAAGGTTTAAAAGGTGAGAAAAATTCGAAAACCGCGAAAAATTTGCAAAAAAAAAAATATTATGAAAAAAAAAATATTTTGAAAACAAATATTCATTTGTCAAATATTGAAAATTTTCAAAATATTTTATTTTATTCAATTGACATTGTAATGGAACTTTTTTTCTGAGAATGCAAAACAATAATAGAGAAGTATACGCGATCATTGTATGTACACGTCCTTCATGAAATTCACGTACATTTTGGGACAAATGCAAGGATGAAAATCTGAAGATTCAGAAAAGAGTTCCGATTCTAAGACACATGCCCTAGATTATTCTTCTTGAAAATAATAATAATAGGAACATAGGAACATGTTGTTATTGAAGTACCTAAAATGTACCATTATATGGTGGTTATATGCCTAATCGTTGGTCAATGTCTTTAATCGCATATGTTTATCACAGAGAAAATTAAGTTCATATTGAAATAGAACAACTACAAAAAGCATTTGTTATAACAAAGAGTCTCATGATGTTACATCAATATATCAACTACCGATATATTTAATACCATGAAAAATCGGTGTTAAGATCGAACTTTTGTACTTTCTAATATGTAGATTCTTTAAATCGGCCGGGACATTTATATGGGGACTATGTTACACAGTACGTGTAGTAGATTGGAAAACGGGGGGTAAGAAATTCAACATACTGAAAATTAAACGAGAAATATGTATGGCGCCTTTTTATTACATTAAGCCAAATCCATGATCCATCCATTCCGTCAAATTCTTCACAAAACCGAAATTGGCGCGGGACCCGTATGTAGGAGCTATACAAAATTTGGTCCTGAATAGAAATGTTTCCGCAAATGTGTTTTACCCTTTCAATATCACGGAATGATATATGATATGAATGACATACGATACTACAATGGGTATGGATATATACTAATACCACATGAGAAAATACCGAACAATAAGAGTATATCATTATATGTATATCAATATATGGGGCTACCCGGACCAATTTGCACCAATGTTGATAATTTTTTGTAAACAGGTTTTCTTCATCCAAAATAAAACATTACAGCACTTCGGCTGAAACACTCCCTAAATGGGGATATCCCGCCGTTAAATGGGGATATCCGAATACTTGAGTCAATATGGAAAATTCTAATTAGGGAGAATTTCTGCCCAATAAGTATCCCTAATATTAGGTTTGGGAAAAAGAAATCCATTAGACCGGTAGAACGATCGAATTTTACAGGTATGTCGTAACATTGTCCAGGAGCTAAAAATTAAACCATTCACACAAAGCTGGATTCAAAAAGAAGCTCAATGTTTGGGTGCCTCACCAATTAACAGAAAAAATGGAATGGATCGAATTTCCATCTGCGAAGCCTTGACCAAACGGAATGAGATACTCTAATTTTTATAAACGGATGGTGACTGGAAATGAGAAATGGATCACGTACGATAACCCTATGCAAAAACGATTGTGGTCAAAGAACGGTGAAGCACCTCAAACGGTGACCAAACCAGGACTAACGACCAGGAAGGTTCGGCTATGCATTTAGTGGGACTGGAAGGGGATTGTTTATTATGAGATGCTTTCATATGGCCAAACGCTAAATTCTGATCTCTACTGCCAACAACTGTACCGTTTGAAGATAGCAATTGACCAGAATTGGCCAACAGGGGAGGTGTCGTGTTTCACCAGGACAACGCTAAGCCATCTTATGAGTAATACAAATGTATGTGCAAATATAAAATTTATATTTTAAATCGTGGAGGGAGCAACAAAACTCACTCATAAACATCAAATTCGGTTTTGTAATGTTACCCTATGTGTGCTCTGATAAATACCACGATGTTACAAAAATATATACAAATCACCTTATGATGGAGGGTATAAAAACAACCTAAAATGCTGAAAATTATACATCAACAATATTGTTAGGCAAGACAACGTTTGCCGGGCCCGCTAGTATATAATAATATGTTTTGCGAACCTAATAGACGATGTCCAATATTGGAGAGTCTCACAAGAGAACTTCTTATATGGCCACACAATATTAGGTATAACTTTTTATGCCCACCGCCGAAATTGGATACAATTGTGGAGTCTGGTCAAAGAGATGTTAGGGCAGCTTAACTATGAATGCCTTAACACTCATGGACAAGAATGTCAACAATCTTGAGGAAACAATGATAAAGTCATTCGATGAAAGTTGTCCTCTACAAGAAAGGTAATCTGTCTTCTGTATAATATTAGGCTAAGTTAGATTAGCTATGTAGTTCTTAAGTAAGAATATTTTAGAATAAAATCAGAATTGAAATCACAATCGAAAGAGAAGGTTCGGATTTAATTTCTCAATAAACGTTTGGACCTCGAGCCGGATAAAAATTAAATGTACTACTTCGAAGAAACAACCACAAAAATATACCTTAAATAAGGAATAAATACAGAGAATTGAAACTACAATCGAACAATAAGGTTGTTTTCAAAATCTCACTTCAACAATTAATTAATTTATAAATTAATTTTTAACTTTTTATGTACTACTTATGTAAAATTTAAACTTTATCTTTAAAAAATATATATCCCAACATACCACACTCAATGTATATTGTGTTGTTTTATTTTCCGTCAAATCTGGATCCAAATTAGCGCCATGAGCCACCGATATAATACCCGTTTCAGAATTGATGACAAATTTATCTTCTGCACCCGATTGTATACGATAAACGATTGCATTATTCGGTGATGAACCATCACGATCTATGGCAGCTACTTGCAATACCGAACTACCACCCGGTAAATCTTCTGGTATACTTTTCGAATAGAAATTTTTAAGGAATATCGGTGGATTATCATTAATGTCCTGGACATAGATGAGTACTGAGACCACAGTCGACAGCATTGGTATACCCGAATCTCGAGCACGAACCATCAGATCTAACACCCGTACACCTTTATCCGCCTGCTTAGTGTCATGTGAATGATGCCTCTGTTTGTGTTCGACCAAACGTTCGTAATCGAAAGGATTGAGGGGTCGGAGAATACCTAATTCTGGATCTATGGAGAAATTTGCACGATACATGCCTTCAACAATTTCATAGGTTATTTGACTATTTTCCGTGCCATTGAGATCATTATCGCGGGCCTCCAATTGCAGTGGATGTTCAAATTCCATTTTATTTTCCAGTAGCGTAGTCTCATATTGCCTTTGCAGGAAGGTGGGGGCATTATCATTGAGATCCTCGATATTGATAATTAATTGGGCAGTATTACGATTTCCCAAGCCCAAATTATCTATGGCCTCAACGGTCATATAATGGCGGGAGACTATCTCACGATCGAAGGCTGAGCCACCGGATTGCTTGATGGTTACCAAACCGGTAATAGGGTTCAGGTGTAATCTGTAGAGAAAAGAGGAAAAGGGACTGATGTCAGGAAACTCCTTAGGTCTTAAAGAGGTTGCAAAAATACTTACAAATGCGCAATCCCTCCCCTTAGATTACGATAACGTATACCCAAACTCCCATAATCGCCCGAATCGACATCACTGGCCTCAATTTTCGCCACCGCTGTACCAATTTCACTATTCTCTGGTAGTGAGACATTGTAAATACTCTGAGAAAATTCCGGAAAATTATCATTTTGATCTCGAATGAAAATCTGAATATGTGCCGAAGAATAACGACTCGGTTCATCCACTTCTCGGGCAAATAGGGTAAAATTAATCTCTTTCAATTGTTCATAGTCTAGAGATCTTGGATTTTTGACACGTATCATAAAACTAGCTTCGTTTACAGCAATATCGGGTACTATTTCAAACAAATCATTTGGTGGATCGAGGAATAGACGAAAGGTTCCATTATTGCCGACATCACGATCATAGACAAAATGCCGAACATCACCATCAATAAAATTTAGGGGAGTATTCGATTGGGCATTTTCATTGACTTCACAACGATAGATGGATTCTCCGAATGTCGGTATCTCATCATTGACATCCGATACGATAATTGTTACCTCGGTTTTTACTTGAGCGGAGTTGGGTGGTGGGTGGTTGGACTGAAAACAAAAAAAGAGAAAAGGTAAGGTATACTTGGTATTCCACGCCTTCTTTGGTCCCTAGAAAAATATCACACTCCTCCTATGACCTCTGGAAAATACTCCAAGTCTCTTTTGGTTCCTAGACAAATATTTCACGCCTCATATGGTCCCTAAAAACATTCCACGCCTTCTTTGGGCCGTAGAAAAATATTCCAAGACTCCTTTAGTCCCTAGTAAAATATTTCACACCTCATTTGACCCATAGAAAAGTATTCCACGGCTCTCTTGGTCCCTAGAAAATATTCGATGTCTCCTTGTGTCCCTAGAAAAATATTCCACGCCTTCTTTGCTCCCTAGAAAAATATAGCATTCCTCCTTTGGCCTCTAGAAAAATATTTCACGGCTCCTAGGTCCATAAAGAAATATTCCAGGTCTGCTTTTGTCCCTAAAAAAATTGTCCACGTATCCTAGGTCTATAGAGAAATATTCCAGGCCTTCTTTTGTCCCTAGAAAAATATTCCACCCTTAATTTGGTTTTTAATTCCAAGCCTCCTATGATCCCTAGAAAATATTCCATGGTCCCCAGAAAAATATTCCACGCCTAGTTTATACCATAGACAGACGACAGCCTTAATTTGCATTAATAAGTTCTTAATTTGAATTAATATTTATCCCTGACAGACGAGAGTTTCTGCATTTACGAAACAGTTTTTTGCTTCAAAGCAATTGTTTGTCTGTGTGTAGCATGAAATTTTTTTACATTTGTTTTGATATTTTTCGGGATTACATCTTTAGGAAATAGATACATGACTTAAAGGAGGAATATCAACTATGATGTTAGGAAAGCAGCTCCCAATTCAAAAAATGGTTGAAATTTGCCTTCATTTCTTATTTTTATTTTCATAAATATCAAGGTGTATTTAATAAGGTGTATGCATCAGATACAACAACAAATATTTTACAAAAACAACATTGTTGTTATAGAAATTAAATTGTCATGCTGACAATAAGTTTTTGACAAAAATAAACAAAAACAATTATTAATTTATTTTTGTCAAGAACTATTCTTTGAGGAATAATTAATTTATTTGTGTATTCTTGGGGTATTGGCGGTTTTAGGTCATTGAAAAATAAATTTTAAGACCTGATCGCGATTAATTTCAAATTTCCCACAATTAGTCCATGGCTCCCAGTAATGTTGTTTATATTGAGGATTACAACCTATTTTTTCTATGGAGTGGCTTCAAATCTTCTTAAAGAAAATTGAAGGACATAAATCCCCGGCCAAAGACTAAATCATGGAAATTGTGTTGACCGTATAAAATATTTCCATAGGCGTATATAACCTCCGCCAAGAATTGTAACAAGCACCAAGGGGCCGATTCTAATATAGGCTAACATAATCTCGATTTTATGAGTAGCTGTAATTTCTGGACAGATTTCCACACATAACATAAAATATGTGGATCAATCGGCGAACGGGGTTATAACTGAGCCTAAGTTTTCTTTCCACCCCCTCTACGAATGCAGTTTTCTTGAATTTTTATTATTAAAAAAGCCTAAAGACCATTTTTGAAATCGAAATGTAATATTGAAAATATTTTTGACAATTTACTTTACAAACAATAAAGAAAAAAGTTTAAAACCATATGATTGTCACTTACACCTTATTAAATACACCTTGATAAATATAAATAAATTTGACAAGAAACAATTAATTTTCGACAGCATTGCCATATTGAAATTGCCTAATTCAGTATAAATTCAGTTTGATTTTGTGCATTAACAACACATAAAAATGAGGATAATGTACAAGTTAATTTGAATTAAGGCTGTTAATGCAAATTAAGGCTGTCGTCTGTCTAGGCTATTAGTCCTAGAAAATAAACCTTTCTTTTGGTTCTGTAGAAAATGAATATTTAAAAAATCCACGTCTCCCTTCTTTGGTTCTGTTGAAAATGAATCTTTAAAAAATCCACGTCTCCCTTCTTTGGTTCTGTTGAAAATGAATCTTTAAAAAATCCACGTCTCCCTTCTTTGGTTCTGTTGAAAATGAATCTTTAAAAAATCCACGTCTCCCTTCTTTGGTTCTGTTGAAAATGAATCTTTAAAAAATCCACGTCTCCCTTCTTTGGTTCTGCTGAAAATGAATCTTTAAAAAATCCACGTCTCCCTTCTTTGGTTCTGTTGAAAATGAATCTTTAAAAAATCTACGCCTCCCTCCTTTGGTTCTGTAGGAAATGAATCTTTAAAAAATCCACGCCTCCCTCCTTTGGTTCTGTAGGAAATGAATCTTTAAAAAATCCACGCCTCCCTCCTTTGGTTCTGTAGCGACTTTGGTCGCTAGAAAAATATCCTACGCCTCTTTTAGTCCCCTATAAAAATAGTCCAACCTTCTTTGGTCTCTAGAAAAATATTCGGACTTCCTTTGGTTACTAGAAAATATTCCTCGCCTCCTTTGTTTTATAGAAAATATTCCACGCCTTCTTTGGTCCCTGGAAAAATATTCCCAGCATTCTAAGGTCCTTTAAAAATTTTTACCGCCTCCATTGGTCCCTAGAAAAATATCCCACGCCCATTTTGCTTCATTAAAGATATTTCACGTTTCAATTATTCTTTCAAAAATCTACTCCTCTTTTAGTCCCAAGAAAAATAATCCATTTGTCTCTCTTTTGACTTACCTTGGATATCTCCTTGGCGGTGATTTTCAAAATATACGCTCCATTCACTTGATTACTAGGATCCTCACGATCCAATTCCCGAATGGTGTAAATCCACCCCGTGTTTCGCTCAATGGCAAACAATTCATTCGATTCCAATTCATAGGCAATGGGATTATTAATACCACGATCACCATCAACACAAAGCACCCGCATGACCCTTGTCCCCACCGGAGCATCTTCGGCAATTCTCGCCACTGGCTGGACCTTTACAAATTCCGGCGGTTGATCTTCAATATCTTTGACTTTTATTAAAATCGCTGCAGTTCCAGTATTCACGGGGCCTTGGTTGGCACGATCCACAGCCAATACCCGTAGCTGATATAAAGCTTTACTTTCATAATCTAGCTGGCCCCTTAAACTCAGTACACCCTTACCCTGATTTGTGGTAATGGCGAACATATCATTATCACCTTCCAATTCTTGTAAATAATATACCACCTGGCCGTACGCACCCTCATCGGCATCAATTGCCTCCAGTGATGTAATAATACCCGGTTCACTATTTTCCGGTATTTCAATAGCCCCCTGATAGGGTAAAAATATCGGTGCATTATCATTGATATCTTCAACGAGAAGTAGAAAACTTTGCGTTACATAATTATAGTCGTTGTAATGATTATCGGTGAGGGTTAAAACTATTGAGTATTCATCCTGAGTTTCTCTATCTAATTCTTTGGCTAGATAAACATTGGCTTCGTTGGAGCCCTTATTTTCGATGCGTATAACTTCACTGTCGGCCGAGGGCCGTTTGCCAAATGTCAGGGGATCATTGTCGGGATCGTAGCCCTTGAGGGTGTAAATTAAGGTACCTGGAAGAAAAGGCAAAACAAAAACCATTAAATGTTCCATTACATTTCTCTCTTCCTCATTCATTACTTACCAACTTCCGTTTCGGGACTCTCTTTTAAACGCAACACAATTTCCGATTGTCCTTCAATAATAAAACGTGGCGGGCGATTGGCTTGAACATTTTCTACTAATACTATTAGCAATACTAGACAACTAAGATGGGTAAGTCCTTCCACGATGTTCCGCTGTAATTTTAAGCGCACCTTATGATGTTTCCTTTTGTTGGGTATCGCTGTGCTATATTCTGTGTTATTTAGAGAGGTCATCAGCGACCTCTTTTTGATTCGATGCATATTATTGTGTGTTTGATGAGTTGAGGAATAGGGGGAGTTGTGAATTTTATATCATGACATCATGTTGGGTGGGATCTGTAAATAAATTTTAAATGAAAAGAATTTGATACAATTTTTGGGGAAAGGGGTTGGAAAAATGAGAGAGCTCATATAAGCTTTTAAAATGATATTTATACCCTACACAACTATGTTGTCAGGGTATTATAGCTTTGTGCAGCCCCAAAGGTTTGTAACGCCGCGAAATATTGGTCCTAGACCCACCTTTAAGTATACCGATCGTCATATCTCGACTAGCTGAGTCGATCTAGACATGTGTGTCCGTCCGTCCGTCTGTCCATTATAATTTGTAAACACGATACAGGCCACAGTTATGGACCAATCTTCACGAAATTTTGCATGTAGGATGGGTTCTGGCCAATGAAGACCCCTATTGTTTTTGGAAAAGATCGGTTAATATATAGGGGATGAAATGGACCAAATACTAAATTTTTGTCGGTTTTTCTGGTCGCTCCAGAGGCCGCAATTATGGCCCAAACACCGCGAATTTTTGCATGGAGAAGGGGATCGGGTCAGAGAATAAGCATGCATGTTTTGATAAAGATCGGTCAATATTTAGCGGGTCAAATGGACCCTGACTTTTGTGTGAAAAATGACAAAATTTGTATTCTATGGCATACATATTTACTCCTGGAGGATGTAGACCCCAGGAGTTGATAGCATATCCAAGAGGAGTGGTTGGCCTTTAAATTGATACCAAATATAGTGATGTATCTACTCAGATGTGGGAGTTACAGTCAAATATTTACAGGTGCTTACGTATTCAGATATTATTCAGTAACCCATTACCACATTAGAGGGAGAAATATCGCGCTGATGGCTTTGACATTTTTCATGAAGTTCCAGTTATGGTCAAGAACAACGCCTACAATTTTCGGTGATGATCAGATTAAAATTTTGGGATGAAATGGACCGAAAACATAATTTTTTGTGTGTTTTCGAGTAGAGTATAATCCGAAAATCACAACACAACCCACCGTGAAGGTAATCTGGACAAGTAATTAGAAGGACTGTACTGAATATTCGAAAAAAGTAAGGAAGAGGTGTTGTTAACCTCTAATCGGACAAGAGGGGGCAAATATCACGAAATATTACTCAGACTCGGAATAAACATCCTCAGAAAGTTAGAGTTCGTGGTAGTTGTGTAGGGTATCGCATGGTCGGACCCGTCCGACTATACTGCTCCGCTCACTGGTTTTTTATTAATTTTGGTAATGCAAATGTTGTATGATCAACATCTCAAAATCCGAAAATTATTTCTATTTGTCTTTCAGTACCTCGAAATATTCTTCGGAGAACCTATATCAGTACTGTTGTTCAGAATAAAAATCCAACAGTCTGTCCGGGGATCTCACGGAAATATTACACAAGCATACTAGAATATTTGATATTAAATGAGCGATATAGAGGTCTTCAATATACCGGAAATGGATCCATACCCACTTTTGGTATTTTAAAGGCTTCAGCCGCAATTTCTAACAGAGGGGGCTGTAATTTCGCATTCGGGGTTCATAGAAGTTGAATCACATATCTGAAGAAACGTATCAATATAGGTCCATGTTGCACCTCTTGGGCTTCCACAAAGCATCATAATCTTACTCGACTATCGCTTGTGTTAGTTTGGTTCTCATTTCTCTTATTTCATTTAAGTAGCCGTACCAAAGTGATGGGACTGCCATCTATCGTTAACTAGAAAGAACATCCTATCGTTGTCTAGAAACGACGGCTTCTAGAATTTTGTGAAGAATTTTTTATGTTTTAGAAACTCAGAATTTTTTCTCTTCGAAACCTAAAACAATCGCTTTGTAGTCTGCAGTGTAACCACTGCATTAACCACGCCGTTAAGTAGATGATTGGTTGGCTGCAGCCTCCCATCGATTATGGCGCTGTCATCTATTGTAACCTAGAAACAACACCCTCTAGAATTTTGTGAAATGGCTGGAGTCCTTGATAATTTAGTATTACCATTTTCCTCAGGGTGTTATTCCTTTTTTGTTATCCCATTTCTGTTTTTAGAATGTAAAGGAGCCATCTGGAGGGGTGTAAGCCACTTTTTAGAAATATACGAAATCCAATTTGAAGAAATTCTTCCTATTGGAACTCCGAACCCATCGGTATCTATTCTGGCATACTAACCACTGCACTACGCCACACCATACACGATATTAATGTCCCGTCATGTTTTAAATAGTTTGATGGTCCTAAGTGTTAGTTTCGTTAAAAATTTTTTTATACCAGTTAAGTAGTTAATTGGTCTGCTGAAGCCTGTCGTGCTATCTATTGTTGCTTAAAAATAACGCCTACTAGATTTTTTCTGAATTGGTTGGTGTCATTGATTCTTTAGTGTTGTCACTTTCTTCCTGTTATTGTCGAAGCATGCATTTATAATGGCAGGGGGCGTCGGATGCATTTCATCTGGGGTTTTGAAAGCCTCCTTTTATAAATATTCGAAAGAAACAAAGAAATAATTGTTACTCATTGAATCTCGGTATCTATCGTTTTGTAGTCTGGCAAACTAAACACTGCACTACGACACTCAATTCCCCATGCCAAAGTCCCACCACTTTCCTCTGTTGATATCGAGGTTTGTTTTAAGAAAGTCAGGGAACTTTGGCGGTAAGTCTTTTTTTTTACAAATATACGTAAACCAATATGAAAGGTTTTTTTTCTTCGAACCCCGAACCCAACGGTTTATAGTCTGACATACTAATCACTGCACTACGCCACCCAGTACTCTATATTAATGCCACTCCAAATTTCAGATATTTGCATGGTCCTAACTAAGTGTGATTTTTTTGGAGCAAGAAAACGTCGCCAATTTCTTCGATTATCCCTTGTTTATTCTCGTTAAGTTAATGATTGGTCTTTTGTAGCCTGTTCTAAATTGTGGGGCTGCATATATATATATATATATACATATATATGACAAGATGTGTCTAATCGAAATCGAACCCAAGTCACCAAATCCGTTACAAGCAATTTGGAGTCGATTTAAAAAAATATCGATTTTGGCTGGTGCGCACGGGAGAATTTACCGTTTTCATTCAATTCAATATCTCATCATAACATTTCATTCAAACATAGGTCGAGTTCGAATATGAATGTTATCAGTTCACTATTTCTGGTAACTCCTCCACAAAATGGTCAATTTTTTAAAAACCCAAATATATCATTTCATGGTCACTGAGTGTGAGATTAGATTCAAAATGTGCCTAATATTTTTACATGTTTAAAGAGGGCGATTATCGGTCCACTACTTCTGGTACCTTCTCCACAAAGGGTAAATCTCCCATAAAACGAAAGGAGAAGGAGTTCCAAACCGGCACAATATAATGCTTATGTGATTTCAGAGCAAAATCATAAAGCAGGCATTGTATCAATCCTACCTCCGTCGGAATGGCGTTCTCTTGACTGAATTTGTTACATATGGATTATTCAAAATAAATTCGGTCATAAATATTCCATGGTAATTTTCTGCCAGGAGAAAGATTTGATATCCAATGAGAATCCCAAATATTTAATTAGAGGCAAAATTCCGAATAATTTACTGTATCGTTATATGGAGACACAACTGAATATTGTTGCAATATTGACAATTTGTGGTAGATAGAGTTTCTACCCAACGATAATCCTAAACCAGTAAGGAAAGTTCAAAAGTCGGACGGAGCAGACTATATGATACGCTTTACCCATTACAGATACCATTCTGAAATCAATGAAAAATTGGACCTAATTCAGTACTCTGTGCAAAATTCTGTCCCAATCGGAGAAATATTTGGAGTTTGGTGCATCATTCACATAAAATCGGACGAAACTATATATGGGAGATATATCTAAATCGGAACCGATTCTAACAATAATATACATAAGTATGGACCTGATTAAGTGCGCTGTGCAAAATTTTGTGGCAACCGGACAAATATTGGGAGTTTGGCACATCATTTACATGAAATCGGACGAAACTATATATATGAATGCTATATCTAAATCTGAACGATTTTTTCCAATTTAATGTGACCTGTACTTTGTTAACAAAAATACATAGACGGACGGACGCACAGACAGACGGATATGCGTATATCGACTCAGAAAGTGATTCTATGCATATTCTCAAAAGGAACCATGGGTCTATCTCGATTCCTTTTGCCTGTACAAACATATGCACAAAGACATAATACCCTGTACCACAGTGTAGTGAAGGGCATAAAAATATTATAATTTGGTCGCAAAAACGTGACTCAAATCCCAGAATACCAAGTCATAACCCATTTTTATTAAAAAAAAAAATAGCCAAAATACCAAATATTGAGGGTACCGTTAAATGGGCACTATAACAAAACGAAGTTCGACATTTCCCATATTCAACAGACTGATAGGCATGGCTAATAGCTGAATATAGCTTGAGAGTGGCGAAATTGTTGTACTATACACCATAGGTTTACTAAAATGTTTAGCAATATAACACGATGCGTACAATGACGTTGGGCGCCATCGATATATGAGGGATACACAAAAAATTTTACACACTGTGCACCAGAAGTACCAGCAGTTACTTTTGCAGAAAAATTACCCTAAAATTTCAAAATAGAGGAAATTAAGAACCCTATGCTCTTTTAATCTATGTTGGTAATAAAAAACGAAAATCGTGAGGTTGCGGTAAATGGGTGCTATACCGAACCATTATTGAATATTTATTGGGAAATGTATTACTCAATGAGAACTCACCGAAATATTTGAAATGTGAAATTTATGAAATATGTTAATTCCCACTAGTCCCGAAATATAAATAACATCCCTCGTACCACTCCTAAAAAGTTAATTTTTTTCTAAATTAGTCCAATTAAAATTAATTTTCATAAATACACTTTTTTTCTATTTCCTTAGTTTCGATTTCGATTGCTCCAATTCCCCAAATTTATAGCTTTGAGGGCACAAAAAAAGCT